AGCCAGATCCAGAGCTGCGACCTGCTGCCTGTGAAGAGAACTGGTTGAAAAAGCCCGTGACCCATCTGCTGCTTGCCACTGACCTGCAGAAATATTGATCTTAAGAGAGAAGGAGGAGGGGCTGGGGGGCTGGGGGTTGGGGTGAGAAAGAGAGAGAAGGGTGCACTTTGGGCACGATGCCAAGCACTGGGGAGGGGGGATTTTGAAATGGCTTAAAACCCTGAGACTTACTGACAGTGGCTCCTATCAAATTGTAACTTCAGGCTAAATGCATTAAAACTGGCATCTGTTTCCTCGCACAGGCCCACACGAGGAACAGTTGTAAATGAATTCCTAGCCTGACAAAATTCCCCTTGAAGAGAACAGAAGGAGCTAGCCAAGGTTAGCATCTAGCTTGGGAAGCGGTCTCCGCATCTCAGTACAATGACTATGAAGGGGAGGGTTTTTAATTTTATTCCAAACTCCCTTTCTTACTCTAATGTGTGCATCCCCTCCCCGCCGCTCCCCCCACCCCGAGAATAAACTAGAATTCTTGTTTAAAGGGGCAGCCTCCAGGGAATAGCCAGCGTCTTTGTGCTATTCATCAAACCCTTTCCCCGTCAGGCTGGTGCAGCTATTCGACATTCATAAGAAATACGCTAAAAAAGAAGAAGAAAATAAAAATAAAAAAGAAGAAAGGATTAGGTTTCCAGTTATTTAATAATAAGTTATCAGCTCCTCTTTCTCTTTAATACCATTGAGCCTTCAACAACCCCCCCTTTTTTTCCCTTTTTCTTTTTTTCTAGGTGCCTCATCTCCTCCCCAGCCTTGCAGCCCCACCTCTTAATAGAATCATTTAATTGTTGAGAGATTCCCAAATGAGCCCCGGAACGGCATATGGGGCCTCCAGCAGCAAGCACACCTTTCATTGTTCTGTGTGTCTAGCAGGCAATTCAGCCCAAACTTGTCGATTACACAGGTGTGTGAGCTGGGGCAAATGATGAGCATCTGTCATGCTGCCCTTGCCCCTCTACTGTTGAATAAAGACAATTCAAAAATCCAGACGTGAAATCAAATACAACCCAAACCCCCCGGTGCCAGCTAATGTAGTGGCAACCTAGGCAGCAAACTGTGGACATGCATCTTACAGATTGGGATGAGGGACTCACAAAGCCAGCAGGGCTCAGCTGCTCCCCAAGGCCACATGGAGAGATGTGCTAGGGATCAGGAGGACAGAAGATCAGGGGGGACCGGTGCCTAAGACATTTGCTAGGCTCCGTCCTTGCCTTTCTTCCAATGTCACCCTGACCTGTGCTGAGCTCAGCATTGTCTCTGTCAGACCACCTGCAGTGGTAAGAGAGACCCCACCTCCTCAAGACAAGTAGCAAGCATTTCCCCAGGCCAGCTCTGCTTTGCTTCAGGATCAGGAATGGTAATGTTCTAAATTGAGCATCAAGTTGAAAACAAAGAAATGTCAAACTCACTTGGTCAAAGGAAAATCCCAGGTACAGGCTTAGGACCAAATCCGATGGAATAAAGGAAAAGATGAAGAACAGAAAGAGAAAAAGGAGAGAAAGACACACACACAGAGCTCGAGAGCTAGCTTTGCCTTGTGCTTTTCCCGGTTGACATCTGTTATGGTCTGCCTGAAAATCACTGCAAAGCCCTACTCACCGGTTTTCTGCTGGCTGGGTGGAGATGCTGAGAGAAAGAAAACCAATCTCTCTATGCCTTTGTTGTCTGAGCTCCAAGCAAGAAATTCCTGCCAGGGTGGATAGATGCCTTCTAGGTCCTAGTGCCTTGTCCAGCTTCTCCCCTGTAACTCGGGCTTAGTGAAGCAACCCCCCCCCCCTATGATTAATTACAGGCTTTTTTTCTCAACTCACAAGCTGCATTAACAGTTAGAAAGGTTTCATTTATAAGCAACCGGAAATTGCAGGGTAGCAAAAAGATTGCGCAGGCAAGGTCAGAATGCTCTAATGAGCAATATGCTAGCCCTTTCTTTTAGAGAACTGGAAATTTCGCTTGGCCTAATCTGCCAGTGGGCCAGATTCAGCCATCCAAACCAGGCTTTTAAGATTGTAGCTCTCTCCCTACACTCCCTTGAGAGAAAACAAACCTATAAATACTTTTTCATTCATTCGTTCAATAACTAGTTTTTCTTTCTTTCTTTTTTAATGGAGTTAATGGAGCAGATGGAAAGGGAGCAAGAAATAGATAAGGGGGCAAGAGTTCCAAATTGTCGTGGAGAATGCTGTTGAAAAGGGCCCCAGAGGTCTTTTAGATTTTGGTGAATGGTATTTATGACCTTTACCTCTAGTCTGGCAGTTCAAATCCAACTCAGGGATCATTGACCATGAAGCAGGTCTGAGCCCTACAACATAAACGTGAATAGATGTCTCCTGAAGCTGCCCCTTGGCCACGGGTTGTCTTCATTAGATTCCGTGTGCTAGGAAGCGCAAGGGAGCATGTAAATTAACCTCACTGGATCACGCGGACTCCACACCATCCTTACAGTGCAGACTCCATAAGTTCGTATGTCACGGTCTTAAACATATTCATCTGTAACCATCTGAGTTCCATTTTTACTTGGTTTCTAGGAAGCTCAGAGCTAATAGTATGTTCATTAATGATCTTACAGATGGTTCCTGGTATGTACAATGAGCCCTCCCTTTTCTACTTAGCTGTTCATCTCTTTAGATTTAAGCATGTTCTGTGCATGTGTTTTACTGTAAATGGCCTCAAAGTGAGATAAAAATATTGTCTACCTTCTCTGCAAGGTGTGAGGTCAGGAAACCCTAAGCTATATATATGCTAGTTGGGTAGACAGCCTTACGCAAGAACCCTGCCTGGTCATGTCACCCCAACACGTTGCTACTGCTCTCCTGGTTCCTAAATAAGTACCGTGAAGGAGTGCATGTTTCTGCTCTGTTCTCTGCCATGCATGTGTGCCTCACATTACAGCAGAGAACTCTAAGGGGGTGGGAGCCAGGAGACTTGGTCTCATATACTTTGGCCATGTGATGAGCAGAGACCAGTCCCTGGGAAAGAACATCTTGTTTGGACAGAGAAAAAGAAGACTGTCAAGGAGATGGATTGACATGGGGGCTGCAACAATGAGCTCCCACGTGACAATGATCTGAGGATGGTGCAGGAACGGGCAGCGTTTCAGTTGGTTATATCTAAGGTCATGGTGAGCAAAAACTGACTCCATGGCACCTAATAAGAGCAGAAGCTGGGAAGCAAATAACATTCTAACCAATGGTAGACCGGGGCTTCCAATTTATCTTCCCTGCAAGGCTAATGCCTTAAAATTTTCTTTCTGAAAATATCAGAAGGATTCAGTAAATATACAGCAAATGATTTTGTATCAGAATAAAAAATCATTTATTTCTGGTGAGGCTGTAGGAATGAATGGATGATAAAGCCTCACATGAATGCCTTGGGATACATTTTGTGAAGCTTCCTCATGATAGCGGCTTTACAACACTCCTGTGGCAGCTGAAGAATATTTTTAGGGCACAGCACAGGATAGATTACTTTGTCATACATACGCCAGAGAGCAGAGGGATGAATAAGGTATTAGCATTTCCCACTGGGCAATATGTGGATATTAAAAGGTGCTTTTTAAAAACAGGGGGGGGGGGAGACATGATGGATTTTGAGACATGATGGCCTGAACAAAAGTAAGCAGTTTTCCTTATTACAAGACTTCTCAGCACCTTCAATATACTTAAAAATGCCATAAGTCTCCAAGAAGACAATTCAGTACAGAGCCCACGTACATGGAGTCAATTCAGACTCCATGTAAGGTTTCCAAGGCTGGAAATTGTTATGGGAACAAATAGTTTCATCTTCCTCCAACAGATGATACTGGAGGATTTGAACAGAGGCTGGAGGGTTTGAACAGTCAACCTTGTACTTTGCAGCCCAAACCTTACCTGACAGCAGAGATACTGTGGTACAAAGCGCTTCATTTATGTCCATAAATCATAGGTACCCCCCCCCCCCCCCCCCCCACACACACACGAGTATCCCCCAGGCTAATATGCTGTGGGAAAGCTTTTTCAAACATTGACTAGATTATCTCATATAGATCTTTCTTTTCTTTTTAAAAAAATTTAAATTTTTAAAATTGCTCTTTTTATTGCGGGCTCTTACAGATAGTATAATAATCCATAAATCAATTACATCAAGTGAATTTGTCTAGATGCTGCCATCATCAATTTCAAAACATTTTCTTTCAACTTGAGCCCCTTGATATCTGCTCTTCATTCTCTCCCTCCCCCACACTACCACCCTCGGGAACCCTTAATGAATTATATATATATATATACATATATATTTT